TACGAACCCTTTGTACGAACAAAAGTAAGAGAAATTTAGGAGAAGAATACGAACATGTTCTTGCATGAGGCCCATTATCTCTAAACATATACGCACAATACACTTGTGTCTTTTTTGATACCATAAAAAATGACCAGACTGTTGACATGTCTCTACTTCAGTTATTCCTGGCTGTGCAGCGTCACTAACACTATCATGATCAAACAGACCATTCAACTAACCATCTCCCCTCCAGAAACACAATCACAAAGCTAAAAGGTGGGACATCAATATCAGCCTAGTTTTACTTATCACACCGATACAGATATTCTAAAAAAAATGACCAATGATGGCCGATACTGGTGCTGACATGTCCTGCATCCCTATAAAAAGTATAAATTTAAAAAGTTGTGAGTGCGCATGTATWCAGCCTCTTCGCTTTTAGTCACAACTAAAACCTTCAGAAGCCACAAAAATCTAGAGACATAAGTGTCAAATAATCYCAGTACAAGTCTGTTCTGACAGCTACCAGAGTTAACACCAGTTTAACACCTTCAAGTAGTGAGGTCCACCACCAAGCAGGAGACATCATGAAGACCAAGGAACTCTCTACACTTCAGAGACAAAGTTATAGAGGAGCTCTGTCATTTTACTACACACAAACTCATTACACTTCTATATCTAATGATGACGAGTCACTACACTATTAACCACTGCAGCTAACATGTATCTAAAGACCTTTATATGTATATAGTGTATATAATAACCCTCTCATCCTAAAGTTCAGATTTTACGCCCCCCGCCCAAAAGACAGATCCCTCCCTCAATTTTACTCTTTCCTTTTCTACCAAAGCCTGGAGAAATAAAAACCACCACTGTACTAGTACTGTATGTGTCCACCTGCGTACATATACACACACCTTGTGTTATTTACTGACACAGGCACATAATCTCAATCATCTAAGGATGAAGTCCAGGTCCCCTGACAAATCCACACATTAGAAATAATTTGACACTCATTAATTCTGAGTTTCACACTGCCGGACAGGACACAATAAATAATAAACAAGATAAAGTGAGAATCATGGAGTGAAGATTCAGTCTGATCTGAAGGCCTTTTGTTGATTAAATGGAAGAGTTTGTATCAAGTCAAAGACCTGCTAAAATCCTGATCCACCATGTTTCACAACAGACACAGGTTGAAAACAACAAAATTAAAAAAAAAATAAAACAGAACGGTAATAATTCAATCTGACTCCTGAACTTCAGCTCCAACAGACCATCAGCACATGAACAGTAGATGTCGTGTTTCTTAGGGAGATGGGGGGCGGGCAGTTTCCTTCCAGCAGCCACTCCAGCTTTTATTCTTCCTCTGATTTCATTTGCGTCATCCTACAGTCGACGTTTTCTCTGTGCAGTAAAAGTTTCCTAACGAGCAGAGCGTCTCTGCATGAGGCAGATGTTTGACTGTGATGTGTTCAATGACTGGAATAATACTGGGTAATCCTGATGTCGACCATTTCATCACTGATCATGGTTAGTCAGACTGTCACAAGACRGTTTCTGGGAGCTTTCTAAAATGAAATGTGATCTTGTTCCACCTAAAAACCTAGGAGAACATCCAGTTTAGGAGGAAACCCTCTAAAGACAAAAGACATTATAAAGCTGTTCTACTTTAATATTAGTCAAGTTAATTACAAATGAATAACTCATGATGGACATTTGTGTTTAAGTAAATCTGACAGTTAACAGGTTTGTAACTCTAGTTTCACATCTCCGAAACAAAAACTGTTTCCCTTAATTCATTTAACTTACTCAGTTTTCTGAAATAGTACTCAAAATTAAAAAATCCAGGCCTGTTAAATACAGTATGTCCAAATGATAATATCACATTTTTACTGCCTACTGAAAATGAGCCACATTTGTCAAAAAAAACCTTTGAGCCTACAGGGAACAGGGGCCTCATGTATAAACGGTGCGTAAGCATAAAAAAGTTACGTGCGCCAGGTTCTACTCCCACGTTGTTATGTATTAAAACCAACGTTGTATGAAAGTGTGCGTATATTTACGCACACTTTTCACCTGCTGTGAGAATGTGCGGCAGCCACGCAAAGTTTTTCAGTCGACAGTTTTAACTCACAAAGTCACAAATCTGACCTGAATCCACAGAAATATGACTTTGTTGTGTTTTCTGGATGTAAGGAGCGTCTGAACACGGTGTCAGGTTTTTATTTTAGTTTGAGTTTTTATTGTTTAAACTCAAACGATCATGAAACTGAACCCTGGAACCGAAAATCATTTAACTTCAGACAAGAAAATAGATCAGTCTAAAAATGATCAAATAACCTCAGTCCAGTCTGTAAACTGTTTTTATTTTTTGTCACATAGTTGGAAACTTTTGGGTCCCGGGCCGGAAAAACCCGACACATTACGTGTGTCATAAAAAAATAAAATAAAAAAAAAAGGCTGAAGAGAGGGAGCAAAATCGGATGCAAATGGTGGCTCACTGTACGGTAAGAATAATTATTTTTCTGTTTGTAGCCTTCTGGCTGATGCTGAGTTGAGTTGTGGCCGTAGCTCAGCAGCTGTGCTTTGGGTAGATACTTGTGCCAGGCGTGCGCACCCCCACCTGCTAGGAAGATGTTCATATGTGTCAACCCCTTTGGACGTTTACCTGTCTAATGAGCCTCAAAAATTATGTTTTTTGCTAAAAATCCACAAGCTACCACTCGTACCCACGCGTAGGGGTGGGGGTCTGTCCGTGGAGATGACAGCGCCTGCTGTAACGCAGGAGGAAAGGAGAGAGGAAAAAGTGGATAACGGGATGTTTTTTTGTTTGTTTTTAGTTTAGTTTAGTTTAGTTTTTTAACATCCGTTCAACACCGTGTTCAACTAAACAGACAACTAACCAGACTTCAATATCACATTCAGGAGATGTCTGTAAATTTCAGGAAAATCTCAGGCTTTGGTTATCCTGTGCGAATGCGCCACATAAAACAATGTCACCCCACTMCTTATTTAGACAGTTTTCTCACTCATTCTCCATTTAATGTATAATTTTCCTGCATCTAAAAATCATTTCTGATCCCACAGAGAGACAATCGGAGGAGAATCTCACAGACTGGACACATTTACATCTATTTTACATATTTAAATGGAGGTGTGTCAGGGGAGGTGTCTCACGTGTGCTCAGTTCCACTTTCATTGGATGTTTAAAGGAAAGGAGTGCAGGAACATGTGTACGCAGAGTTTTATACATCTGAATATTTTGGTGCAGCGCACTTTTCTAAATTTTTCCATACGTCAACTTTTAGTGTGAAAGCTGCGCAGTCCTTTATACATGAGGCCCCAGATCCTCAGACAGGTCAGTTTAAATATTCAGTAAATAAAAACATTGACCTCAGAAGTCTACACTGCCTTCTGAACAAAGTTGAAACCAGATGTTTACATACACTCTATGTACAATAAGGGAAYCATTTAATCTGACATTAACGTTGGACTAATCTTTTCCTATTTTAGTGAAGTTAGGATTCCCAAAATTATTTGTATTTCATTGCTTTTTTTTCAAAGTCACAAGTTTCCATCCACTTTCTTAGTATTTATCTTTATATTTAAACTGTCTGACTTGGGTCAAACATTTCATGGTTCCGTCTATAATAAAAGCTTCTCACAGTAGTTTGCTGGAACTTTGTCTCGATCCTCCAGAGAGAGCTGGTGGAACAGGACAACCTGGAGTCAGGAATGTAGGCTGTGCTGCTCACACTTACATCTCAGATCTGCCAACAAATTTTCTATAGGACAGAGGTCAGCACTTCATGATGGCTCCTCCAAATCCAGCACTTAATTGTTTCTGAAGCCACTAATCTGTCAGTCTGCTGAGGGTCTTTGTTCATTWGAAGACTCATCTGTGTTTAAGCTTTAACTTCCTGATCATGTYTTGAAATGTTGCTTCAATATTTCCACATCATGTTCTTTACTTAAGATGCAATTTTAGCTCATTATTTACAAAGTTAACAGGACCATCATAGTGGCTAAGGTCAGGCAGCTGGTGGCCATCTTGATTAGGGGTCAGTTCAAAAGTTGATCAGCTGTAGATGTACAGCCATYGATCGCTTTCTGTAAGTTATATTAAAATTTATTGTGATTTTGACTTTTTAATTATTTTTCAATTACATGACAACTGATTAATATTTCCACTTTCACAGATAGAACAGAAAACTAACAATAATGTCTGACAGATTTACAATACCGTCCATTTCTTTTGATCACCAGTCGTATGTCAGTTAGCAGGAGCTGCTCCCTGAAGTTAACATTTATTACTTTCGCACAGAAACCTGTCACTTCGTCCTGCTCTTGTTCGCACAGCTCCCTGGTTCTGTGTCCACGTTACAAAACTTGTTTAAAACTATAATCTGTAGGAGTCGCTTTGAAATGTAGCGTCTGATTATCGACAACACTGCTAATCGAGCTAGCATCCAAGCCAAGCAGCGCCGCTCAGTTTCTGGTGAAAAACACGCGAAGAGAAAAAAACTAAACTCAACAATTCATAGCGTAATGTTTAACAGGTTCACAGACCAAAGACTGGCTCAAATAAAAATAAATCAAGTCTAAATTACTTAGCGTACCTCTGCCATGTTGATGAAAAGTCGCCTGCCTTGTTGTGTTGTGATGTTTTTTTTGTTGTTTTCCACCGTGCTACATCATAACATTTCCGATGAGGAACACTTGTTTAACAAAGGTTCCGGTYTTACAGTTCTCTGCGACCATCGAATGAGAAAGGAGGCGCTGTTGTTTCATTTCTACACTTAAACGTGACCATGAACCGAAGATGTCAGATGGACTGAAATACTGATGGTTACATAATAGGGTAGCTTTTATCTGTCAATGTGATTTTGTTGTTTACTTCTATACGAAATATTTTTTTTAACAAAACTGTTTGTGTTTCTGGGGACGTCTTCCGGTGTATAAAAACTAACACTTACATACTGACATGATTAGCTGAAATGAAAAACTGATGACGCTGTTAAGCATGACCATACAGGAAGTTTCAAAGGGAGGGTTGGTATTTGAACCAAACTGTTTATGGTGATGTATCTGTTTGCTTTTTAGACTCAGCAAAGGCATGACAAGGCCAGATCTAATAAGCTTTACCTAAAACAATACATTACAATACTGTATCAATACTGTAACAATACTCAAAGCTCATAAATATTATTAGTACTTCACACTTAAACAATCAAGTTGTAACTTTAAAGGGGACTAATCAGGGGCGTGGCCATAAGGACATGAAAGATCTGAATCCAGTATGCCATCAAGGTCTGCAGAACTAATTAAACACTCCTTAGGTTCAGCTGTGTTGAACCAGAGCAGCTCCTAAAACATGCAGGACAACGACCCTCAAGGACTGACTTTGGATACCACTGTATTAGATAGATCCACAATTCAGCCTAGTAGTAGTAACGGTAATTTTACTGTTCCATCATATTTACAACCTCTCACAATGTTATCCTAATATAACAACAATAAAAAATAATTTGGTGGAACAGCAAATTTGTCTTTTCGTGGGTTTGCTTGACATAAGGTTGTCAAAATCTAGCATAACGATAACTGACCTCCTTTCCGCATCTTCGCTTATTTTTTTAAAATAAAATATATTTTAATGATCTGTAAAATGTAATAACCGTGATCTTGTTATTGTAGTGTTGACAATTTATGGCAAAATATTGCATCCCTTTTTGATATCCTTTGCATGACTGTCTGCTGCATCTCCTTTTTACCACCATTCATGGATGTTCCTGAGTTAAAACTCAATGCATAGCAATGGCACCTGTGTGGCGTACGATGTCACGTGATGTCCAATCCAGTAGTACAGATTGATGTCATCAGCATTCGCCACTCTGCCACACCCGCACCATTCCGSCACCAGTCAGTGTTGAGAGAAGCATGCAGCATATGAAATCTGCATGTTTCAACCTGTAGGGGGAGTTAGCTCAGATACATGTGCAAGAAAAGAGACAACTTGGTGGCTTTGATCCAAAATGGCAGACATCCTGTGGGGTTTGGACCATGGGTCCAGAAGACTTTTTTTTGTAGGTCCTGAAATGTTAGACATGTGTACCAAATTTCATGATTCCAGGTCCAATTCTCTGAATCACATATTTCTGCCATTGTTAAATACATTTTTCCACAACCCTTGCTTTCCCCTGAGTCCTCTGGCTCTGCTTTCTCAAAGGTGGACATAATGAATATTGTGTAAATTGTTTATTTGGCTAGAAACAGGAATAGGTGATTCAAGAAAAAATTGTCTCTTTATAAATGGTCTTCTGAGGTGTTTACTGCAACAAACTCAGAAATCAACACAGAGCCATCTTCAAGCGTCTAACAAGATTTGTTCTAACAGGCAGTTCTACTGGCAAACTATACTTCTTTTATCATACRAATGCTATCTTTATGACTTCATTTCAGGCTCTGCGGGTGAAGATAAAAATAACAGTGATAAATTACAGCAGATCCCGTCCTGGCCAAAAACATCCCTATCTATCGATAAAGAATAAACACAGTGAAGATTATGTCATTGAGTCAGTAGGGGATGTCATAATGACCTAGATCAAAAAGTATTTCTCATTAGAACTCCTCTATCTGATTATAAAATGATCAATAAAACACAAACAACCCTAGAATAAAAAGAAAGACATAATTTTGGACACACACTCAGACGCACATCCTCAGGGATCACAAAGGGATTTGCAGGTTCTCTCTGACTTTACTTCACTTTTACCTTGACCTGTAGCCTTCCCCTTAAGAAGAGCATCCTCTCCTAAGGCAGGTCTCAGTGTTTTATAACACCCACAGTATTCTACAAGGAGTCCAATTCCCTATGTGTCCTTAAAGTCTGCAGAACTTCCTGGCTTTGCCTGCTAACTTACACGCTCATGTTGTATTTTTGTCTTTTTATTGTTTGGCAAAAAATGTAAAATAATGATTAATAATCTGATCAAAACACAAAACCTTAAAAGCACTCAAATCCCCAACTCTGTGCTAACCTAATTCAGCCTTTTTTTTCCACCCAGAACTTAATTATCACACAAAAATCTCTGGAACATCTTGAACCCAAACAGACTCGTCTGTTTTGAAATGTGGAGGAGATGGGGGTGGTGACTTTTGGTAGATACTTCTTTAGTGTGAGGGACTGGAGAATGTTGAGGGTCATGTAGATTTGGGCGTGGCATAAGCAGTGTTGTATAAAGTACCACAAAGTGATACTTGAGTCAAAGTACAAGTATCTTACCAAAAAATTACTTTGGTAAAAGTTAAAGTCTTCTTTAGCAACATGACTTGAGTAAAAGTCTTAAAGTATCAGATATTTTATGTATTTAATTATTAAAAGTAAAAGTACAGTACTTTTATTTTAATTATTATGTCCTTCTGGAATGTGACATGATTTGTTTGTGTGCTGTTTGTGTACTGTATATATA